TTGGTCAATAGTGATGGGCATTCATAGTTATACATCGGGGGTATATTAATATGGAAAAGGAAAATTCGAACGACAATCTAAAAATGCAGCAACTCGAGAGGGAGATAAGTGACGGAATTGGCGAAGAAAAGGAAGACCAGCGGAGGAGGCTGGCGTGAGACTGCCACGTGCGGCGGAAAAGCCCCCCACAGCGGAGAGGAAAACATTGAAAAAGAACAACTTTTGGACACATTACACTTGCATGTACAACAGAAGAAGAAGAAAAGAATATTACATTGCTTATAGAACAGAAGAAGATGAAAAGAACATTACATTTATGTCGAACAGGAGAAGAAGAAAAAATTTGCATGTAGAACAGAAGAACTTGAAAAGAAACCATTGCATGTAGAACAGAAGAAGATGAAAAAAAATTACATTGCATGTAGAACAAAAGAAGTTGAAAGAGAACATTACACTGTATGTAGGAACGTAGTGGCCTGGGGACAAATGCATGGTGCATGTTAAATGATTATTTGTTTAGGTGTCATTTACGGGTAAATGACAAATCGGTTAAGGGAGGATTTGGCACCATGCATCCAGGCAGAGAAAAGAAAAAAAAAGGGAAAAAAAAGAAAAGGAAAAAGAAGAAGGGAAAGGAAAAAAGCGAGACGGATAATAGGCGAACACACACGCGGCTTAAGAGGCAATAAAAAAGGTTATTTTGAATTAGGTCATTACAATGACAATGAGATTGAGTGGGTAGGGAGGTGTTACTAAACTATTGGTACGAGAAGGCATCTTACTATCAAAACACATAAGGAAAAATTCCAGCGAAAATGTTGATATGTGACGACAAGAAACAGGCGACAAAAAAAGACTTTTGGACAGATATGAAAATTAAAGGCCACCTGCGAGCAATCATTGACCGATTTACATTTGGCCTGCGCGAATGGAATTGTGAAGAAATGTTCGCCAAAGGAAACGTTAGATTTTTAAAAGCTTCCCTGGATATGGGAAATTAAAAATCCCACACAAGTCGTCTCGCTAATTAAGCTCTTTTCGACAAAACAAACTTTTGCCCTGCGATAATAAAAATCAGACACATGAACCGAAGGAAAATGAATGGAATAAGAAATGTTTTTATTTCTGCCTTGGAGACGTCAGACTGACTGAAAACTTGGAGAAAATTCTTTTCTGAGGCCATGCCGGAAAAACCAGCCGTCTGATGAAACGCGACGTGTTGAACAAAGAGTTGTCATATTATCCGTTCATGATAACGGCGATTTAATTAATTTTTTTTAGTTAAGCAAGGTATATTTTTCTGAAACAAAGCCGCGGGTTGTTCACGCCCGACTAAGACGTCATTGGTCAAGTGGTGATCACATGACGCACGAAGGAGGAGGAAGGATACCCGACCAAGACGCACGAAGAAGACTGTCGACGCCCCCATCCAGAGTATAAGTATGAGATGAAGTGGGGAGGGCAGTTCACGCCCCTCAGAATCATGGTGAGAAAGTGGGAGTGAAAAAAAAAAGTTACCAAAAATGGAAAAGAGTGGAAAATCCCTAACCAGAAATAAAAGAGGTGGATATTTATTTAGAATTATCGAAGAACTCCCCGACGCCAACAGACCCAACCCGGTTTTTGACGGCGTCAATAAAAACGAGGCCCCAACAGGCAGAAATCAGTTCGGACCCTGACGGGCAGAAGACAGTTCGTTCGGCCCTGGCGGCAGAGATGATAGACCAAGATAGCTGACCAAGATTCACGCAAAATTTCGGACTCCTCTTCAACCAAGAACAATTATTTGAAGAGCGACTTAGGACCAGACCACAGAAATAAGTTTTTCGACTTTCGTCCAAGGACACACCGAAACACAAAATTCTTGGAGAGCAGACAACTTGAAGCGTTAAAACTTGCCTAGCGAAAACGACGTGTCACAATCCACAGAACGGGTCGGGAGATAGATGCAGTCCTATGTATCGAACAACTAGACATAAAGTTTGTTACCTTTTTCTTTGATACTTTGAACTTTTTGAGTTTTCATTTTATTTTCTTTTATGCATAGTTGTGTGTTATCACCCCCGTTGAACTCAATTTGCATTACGGCCCCAACCCCTGTTTGATCTCGTCTGTCTAAGATCAATTCACAACGTGGGTAAGCAGACTGGAGATCAGTGCAGTTTACCTTGGTAACCAGGCGTTGGAAGCGAGTTGGGAACGGCGAGGCTGATATCAAATCTAACCAGATTCCCACCAGAATCACCAAAAGGTTATAACGTCACATTTGGGTGCCGCGACCGATACCAAGCCAGTTGGTCGTCACAGGACGAGACAACACGACTGACGCGACAGGCGGACGTCGCGTTTGGAGCAGCGACACCCGGACGGAGCAGCGAGGAGCGAACAGCTGGCGCCGCGGCGAAGACATCACAATTGGTGCTGTTTGGGGACGTCACAACTGGTGTCGTGACCGGGATAGGACCCTGGAACGGCCACGTCACAACTGGCGCCGTGGTAGATGAGGATAGAACGTCACAGTTGGCGCTGCGACCGGGGGAAGACGTCACACCCTACTGCTTGTTGCTATTATAGCAAGTTGCCGTTAAAAGTATATTTTTGTTTGAATTTAGAACAAAGATGGATAAATGTGTCCGCAAGAAGACGGAGTATCAAAAAGACGATTTTCTCTTCACACCGCTATTATTTATATAACTACCTTCACTCCTCGGCAATGTTTATTGTATTAAAAAGCGATTAGGATTGGAATAAAACCTAAAGACATGAAAGTGAATTTATACATTTTCTTTGTTCTTTAGAATTGACAACAAACACAATTTATTTATTATATTGCTTATTTACGCTATTTATTTATTATATATGATCGGCACCGGGTATTCAGGTGCAGAAAGTGGCACTAGATGAACTTGAATCCATCGACAGAACTCATCTCTCCGGTAAACTGAGAGGCTTGGTGCTACTAACATGGGTTGGTTCCCTGGCTTTTGTGGCTATTACAGGTGTATGATATTACTCTGTCTCGCATTCAGCAGACGCAGTAGTGTATCAACAAATACCTTCACAAGTGGTTTTTAGCTCTACACCCCCCCACTACTCCACAGTGGGACTCTATACCAATGTTGGAAACCTGCAATTTCCCATCTCCTCATTGGTGGAGCAGTTCACGGTCGGGAAGCTACGCCTTCACATAATGATGAGGGAGTTCGTCCGCAGGTTACGGCCAGATATCAAAACTGGCACCAAATGGTGACCAGTAGAAGACATCCAAGAAGCAGAATACTAACCAAGGAGATTATGGGGGTAACCCAAAACAATCGAGCTGGCCTGAGCAGCACAAGCAAGCACTTTTTATCCAAACATAGTCCAAAGGGTAAACGAGACATGGTGATTGAAGAAATCAGGAAATTCGAGGAAGAACAGCGAAGATCTACCGCTGTTTCTCAGTCCAAGCAATATGCTTGGAGTACATGGAGTGATATTGAGATCCAATGAAGCTATCATGGAATACCTTAATTGCAATGGAGCCATTGGCAGTATTATTCCTCCTGCCATCTGCCTATAATCTCCTACGAAATGTGACTAACCTCAAGCTGTGTGAGTACACTGACACTGTTGTATGCGATCGAGGCACTTTACGTCACGTGCTCACTGTATGCCAACAATCACTGCACATGGCGTCATAACAAAGTGCTGCAAGTGGTCATGCACTTAGTCTGTGCACATTGTGAAGCAGCCAACTGCCTGTAGCAGTCAGAAAACCTATGATACGTTTTCGCAAGGAAGGTGAACGTCCCGTGTGAAAGACCTAAATAACTCCTAACATAACACTAGTGAAACACATGATTGGAGGGTGTTAGATGATCTTAGAACACTTCTGGAATTTCCGGTACACATCATTCAAACGGACGCACGCCCTGACATTGTAGCGGGGTCTGGTTCAAAGAAGTATGTCCTCCTAATAGAATTAACGGTTCCATGGGAGAACATGGAGAAGGCGCACGAGCGAAAGAAAAACCGCTACGAATCGCTACCATCCGACTGAGGGGTAAAAGGAACGGACATGTCATGTGCTACCTATTGAGGTCGGGTGCCGTGAATTCTTTGGACGGTCAATCATTTCCTTCCTTTATCACTGACCGGAGCCTGAAGCGTACTTCGGATCGTCTCCAGACCACAGCTCAACAGGCATCAACAAAATGCTACTACCAACGTGAAACACATCTGTTTACCTTTTCATTCTGTGTCATTAATAACGGTCGTTGCGAGCGCTTTGTGTATTGGTAAACGATCAAAATCGAACGCCTTTAACACAACGTTTAAAATCTCAGTTGAAGTTGTAAAAAGAAATCGCAAAAAACAATATCCTGTAAGGTGGTAAAAGCTGCTGGTGGCGCCAGGGATAGCAGTACCGCCTTTGCCACCGAAACTGTGTTACCTCCCCTGGTCAGCGGCTGACGAGGGCAGGGTATCGCATGTGATTTCTCGTGTCGTATGTAGAAAAGATGATTTACAGTGGAACCTCGGTTCACGAATTTAATTCGTTCCTGAAGGCCGTTCGTAACCCGAAATGTTCGTAAACCGAAACTATTTTTCCAATAGGAATCAATGTAGACAAAAAAGTCACAGTACAATAAAATTGGAAAAGAAAAGCACGGCACAACACACGAATGTATACAGCACGGTATGTGGACTCAGAAATTATTCCGTTTCGGCAATGTTGTTCGAGAACCGAAATTTTATTCGATAACAGAGGAAAACCGATTTGTTCGACATGTGAGACATTCGATAACCGAGGTTGGTCTGTATTGGAATGTTTGGCAAAACCATTGGCTAATTGCCAATCGAGTCAAACTTTATAAAATAATAAAAAATAAGAATTCCCTTATAGTTGGTTCAAATATTTTAATAATTTAGTAAATGTTTTATAAATTCACATTTGTTTCTTCATAAATTGGTTAGTGATAAATGTTGCATTACATTAATTCTAATTATATTAGTTTTTAGAATGTTGTAGAATTGAGATAGATAGATAGATAGATAGATAATGAACAGACAATGATAGATAGATAGATAGATAGATAGATAGATAGATAGATAGATAGATAGATAGATAGATAGATAGATAGATATGAACAGAATAAGATATGAACAGACTGAGAAAGAAAAAAGAAAAAGAAAGAAAGAAAGAAAGAAAGAAAGAAAGAAAGAAAGAAATGTACGGACTGTAATAGATAGATAGATAGATAGATAGATAGATAGATAGATAGACACTGATCACTTTGCGGCCTTCTTGAAACAAAGGAACGATTTCTGTAACACAAATTCAATTGAACTCGTGAAACTCTGGTGAAAATGAATCGTTTCTAGCATTTACTGTTATGTCACTAATCTGTAAATTTGCTTTTTTCTTTATCATAATGTGGTTCTACAGAATATGAGAGTTCAAATTTAGGCTTAGAAACTTTGACACTCACATGACATTAAAGAGAAAAGGAACAGAGGAAAACTTATAAAAGCGCATAAATTACCTACTGAGCTTTTGTAAAGGAATTGCGGGACGGGGATTAGGAGAGATAGCATAAATACAAACTTTAAAAAACGCTACAAAACAGAAGGAAATTGTGGAGTGCTATGATCGCCCACGTCCAAAAAAAAAAATGCTTTTCTATGCGAACAGATAGTTCGTTTCCTAATTTTAGCTGTCAATCACAAAGCTATGGAAAAAGAGCACCCAGAAGAGAATAATTAGCCCGGCAAGTACCCCAACCTACAGGCGTCTACTCGTTTATATATATTTATTTATTATTATTATTATTATTATTATCATACTGTTTTTGTTGTTGTTGCTGTTACTGTTGTTATGGTCTATGAAATTAGACCGAGTTCTTTCATTGAAATAAAAGGGATCAGATAACGAATAATGATTTCCCAAAATATCGCAAAGAAAAAAAGAAATATATAAAAACAACACGAGTAATGATGATGAGAAGATTTTACCGATGGAGGTGAGTTTGTCACCACGCATCAAAAACGTCAGCTGGATAGAGGCAGCGCATGCGTATCACGAAACGTGAGCAAACAGAAGGATTTTAGCGCCGCCACCCACACCCCCACCACTGCATGCGCGCGCGTGCATGCGTGCTTGCGTGTGGGCGTGCCGTTGATTCGCGCATTTTATGGGGTTTCACCGAAGGTTGCATCATCTTCATAAACTCGCAACATCGTCCGGGATAGAAAGGGAAATAAAATTAATGGGAGAATGCAAAATAAAAATAGAAAGAAGCAAATTCAAAGCAATTTTGCGTCTCTATTTCTCAGATGAACTATTATAACGATTTACACTATTTACATTGTTCGAACTGTTGTCCTCATCTTTATTGTCACGCGCCAGCCTTCTTCAGGTGATATTTGCTGGAATTTTTCTTCCCTCTGCTGTGGCCAGGTATTGAACTCACAACTCTTTGTGTGAAGTCGCTTTTGAATCAATCAACGAAAGCTTTTATCCACTGGGACATGTCTTCTGAAACAGAGATATCCAGAAAAGGCATGGCATGTGGAATTAGAACAATGTACCCCCGTGGACTAAATAAAAGGGTTCGGTTCGAAATTTCAACAAATATTACAAACGTCGTGAATATGGCAATAAAGATGAGAAAAACAGTCCGAACAATGTAAATAGTTGCAATACCTCATCTGTGTATATATATATATATATATATATATATATATATATATATATATATATATATATATATATAGAGAGAGAGAGAGAGAGAGAGAGAGATACTGAAGAAGGCCAGAACAGGCAACAGACGAAACGTCGCGGATATAACAATAAAGATAAGGACAAGAGTCCGAACAATGTAAATAGTGTACAAAGTTATTTCGTTACTCAAAAAGGATTCGATTTATTCAAAGATATGTCTTCCTTTACAAAAAGTTTTAGTTTCTGTAACGGCCAAATTTTGGCTCACTAGGAAACATCATTCAAAATATGAACTTGATGTCAGGGTTTATGTTTTGAATTACAAAGGTTTTAACAATCCTGGGTAATAAAGTGATCGAAATCTTTTGTAAAGATAGAAATTGGTTCAAATATCCCCACGTGATTAAACCAAAGTGTGGCGTATGCTTATGACACCTTGGTATAAAACGCAGATGCCTCGGATAATGTTCTTATCGTCACTTTTAATGCACTGATAAGATGCAGTGCAAGGAAGTAATCTCTGGTGTTCAGTCAAAGCAAACATTTGAAACACAGAGAAAACTATGAACGATGTTGCAATATGCAGAAAGCTGATATGCAAATGAATCTATGAAATCATCCCATTTGTCTGTTAAAGAACTTACACTATCGACCGGTCAATAAAAAGGGGAGCAAAAGTCTCCTCCCCTTCTTTCTTTTTTATTTCTTGAAAATCTTTGTTTTCTTTTTATTATAATTTGTTCTCAATTACCTGGTAAAACTTGTATATACATGGGTTAATCCAAAAGTAAAGTTTGATTGTCTTAGTTGTCAGTGGGCGCCGCTTGATATGCAAGTAAATGTTACACGTTTCCGCCAATAAACATTTTTTTTTCATTTTTTTTTACGTTGTTACAGATAGGAGCAGAGTATCAGTCTGGACAATCATCGCGACTTGCCGAACATTTACGGAAACGAGACAGGGGATCTGAGCACAGTTACTCAGTGGATAATGTGTTTCAGGAGTGATAACGGTGAAGTGTGTAAAACGCCACATTTATAAGTGCAACATGACGACTCTGGCCCATCGCTGACGATGATTTTGTGAAAAAATATGCTTTGAAGCTGAAAATTTGCTCAACCCAACAGTGTTATTAGGCACTTTTTTTCCTTTTTGTAGTTTCCGTAGAAACAAGCAGAAAGCATTTAGAGCGTTATGCGTACATGGACATTTTTTTCATACTTCTGAGCCATCTCTCACGAATTGTTTCATCCTCAGCATCCTTCTGCAGAACCCCATTTCTGTTGTTTCATATCCCTTCTCCATCTGTGGGGAGATTGTCCAGCATCCACTGCCATTTAGAAGGACTGATATTACGTGACAGTTCATCTGTTTCTAACAAAATATTTCTGTCTAATGGGAGGAGAACAGAGAGGAAGTGAATGAGCCAAAGAAAAACTGCTACGAATAATTTTATTATATATCCTCATAGTGTACAATTCTCACTTCCTGCATCTACGCCGTTACAACAACTCCTTCCGTTACCCTCTACTTTTAAGTGGCTCTTGGGCCTTTTATTAGATGAACAATAATATAAAAATCCTTTCATTTAGAGATGAATATTAACCTCATAGCACGAAACAATGTTATTTTGAGAACAAAGTTCAGCTTCGTGTTTGACTAGTGAGTTATTGATCAGCATTCGTTTTGCGTGAGACAATGTGTGTAGCTATATATCTCTGTGCATGCGAGTGTATAGGTGTGTAGAAGAATCGAACCTGCGGCCACGGCGTGAAATAATTCAAAGACGGCGAATGAAACCAACGGGGCCCCAGGCTAGAGGAGAAGAAGAATTGCCGAAAAGTTGTGAAACGGTCGGTTGTGTTCAAGTTTAAATGGTATGACTGGATAAACGGGATCATTTTACGTCGGGTGCAGTCCAATGGCAAGGTTGGGGGAGGCAGAAGTCGGAGGAGAAAGACAGAAGCAAAAGGTAGACAGGAATAGAGAGAGAGAGAGAGAGAAATATGAAATGACTGCACAAAAGAAAGAAAGAAAGAAAGAAAGAAAGAAAGAAAGAAAGAAAGAAAGAAAGAAAGAAAGCTGAAAAATAAAAAGGAAAGAAATAAGGAAACTGGAGGAAAAAAGAAAGAAAATGGAAAAATAACAATAATGTTAAGAAAGAAAGAAAGAAAGAAAGAAAGAAAGAAAGAAAGAAAGAAAGAAAGAAAGAAAGAAAGAAGAGTCCGATGGCTTTTATTCCCTTTCCTCTAAATGGAAAATGTCACAGATTAGCTGAACGGGTGCACGACTCGAACGAAGCAAGGGTACCGGGTGGGGCCGAACTAGGCAAATACGGGTGAAGAAAAGGAGGTCTGTGAACAAGAAGGTAAGAATCCAAAGAATTATGCCACACCCGGATTCTATTTTTTTTCTTGCTGGCACCCACGAAAGGAGGAGAGGTAGAAGTAAGAACTGTAAAAAAAAAAAGAGGCGAGAATGGAGAGGGGGTGGGGGTAGCGCCAATGATGACGGAGATGGGCAAGTAAAGAACGCTGACGGGTGGGAGATTATTTTAGCAACCCGCAGTAGTAAAGTGTGGAGGTGATCAGAGACAAAGTCATCAGTGAAGAAAGATAAATATAGGTAGAGAGTGAGGAGAGATATGATATTTAGAGTGAGATAAAATCACATATATATATATATATATATATATATATATATATATATATATATATATACACACAGATACATACATACATACATACATACATACATACATACATACATACATACATACATACATACATAGATATACATCATGAACGGCCAAGATATATAGGATTATAGAGAGAGGGGCGGAAGGAGTCAGAAACAGAGATAAATAAAATAATCCTGCGCGCTGAGGGTACTTGTTTTAGGTGTTTTTTTCTCGGCTCATTCTGCGAAGGGTTTTCGCCATCTGGTGTCGCTTGCAAGGCCAAACATCGCTCAGAATGTCCATCCACTGCCCACTGGCTCAGTTCCATCTTTACTACTGCTGTAGCTGCTGCTTTTAGCCTCCGCGCAATGATCTGAGCGGGGATAGATAGATAGATAGATAGATAGATAGATAGATAGATAGATAGATAGATCCGAGAATTATTAGCGACAGGTGCAGACAGATAATCAACCCCCCACCGCCGTTCCATTCACGTGACCCTAACGCCAAATGGTTAATGCATCTTGAGACATGAAAAAGAAAACAGAAACAAAAGACTTTCGAATCTCTAAAAAGTCTTCATTTTTTTTTTTTTTTTTTTTCATAAACATCTTCCCGTTCGAAGCTACGAAAGTCAACCACAGATAAAAGTTGCGTCATGAAATGTTTAGTTAAATAACACCTTTATTGATTGTTGATAGTGATGCCTTTGCCGACCCCCAAACCCCGGGAGGTGGGGAGGAGGTAAAATCATCACACCGATTTTCGGGGACATGTTCGACTTATGGGAAAAAAAAAAACAAAACAAAATAACGTTTATTCAAAGCTAAGCGAGAATAACTATAAATCAATACCTGACTTGTTAAGTACTTTCTCTTTGTGAAGTAAAATATATGATAAGGACATCGAAATAAACCCCTATTTCTAAAACATTAATATCCCACTACTATTACTACTACATTGACAGTACCATCTCCACCTTTTCTTCCTTTTTTTTCCTTCCTTTTCAAAAATGTTTACCATCATCATCATCATCACCATTTTCTTCTATTGCTTTCTGTTCAGTACACTCCCTTCCCTAATCATTATCCGAGGCACTGGTTAAGGCAAGGTAATCAAAATATGCCATCTGGTTACACAAGTTCTCATGTTACGTGATATTTAACATGTACAATGTTTCTTATTTAAATTGATAATACACTCCCGAGTTGATGAGCAATTGCAAACAGGGCAATTGTCTTGAATCCCTTTTTTTTTCTATAATGTCCCATAGCTCCAAATATTATAACAGTCTAGGAGAATGGTCACAATGGATACATAGGCGAAACCTCAAGGAATTTAAATAAAAGTTTATATGAACATAGACGGATTCTTTGACAAAACAACACAGCGCATTAGTTCCCCACACAAATCAGTCGAACTATAATTTCTATTTCAGGATTATTAAATGCATTACAAAAATTTAGACGCCATTACCCGATGTCGGTACACGTCGCCGGTACAGACTGCCGGTACACGTTGCAATGCACTTTGATGATGTGACTTTAGCCGTCCTACTGCATTGGATTAAGATTTCTAACAAAAAAGAAATAATAATAACGTTCCGTTTAAAACAATGCGCGTTTAAAATGCATTTAATTTTCTTTTGTTCTTTTTACTTACTCACACTCCTGACGATGACACATGTGAGTCGAAAGCATGTGTCTAATACAAGTTTCAACTATGTTTTTGCATCAACAACAGCCATAATTGTGAAAAATTTTAAGAAAAAATTAATAAATTTAATATACATAAAACGTCTATTCTTTTATTAAGACATTTTGCAAGAACAGTTGGTACCAATATATATATATATATATATAATAAAGTAGAAAAAGTTTTCGGGGGCGGGGGGCTTTTTATCCTTTAAGTTTCCGTTGCTGCGACTACACAAAAGCATGAGAAAAACAGAGACACTGAGAGTTTTTAAATTTAAAAAACATGTATATTTTTAAATATCTGTTTTTTGTATGTAATATGCAAATTACAAATTACATGTAAAAAAAAGAAAATAAACGTCCCTTCAAGAGGTTGGCGATCATGGATCTCCGCAACTTCCTGCCCTTTGTAGCTCTTCTTAATAATTTTTCCCTTTTTTCCTATCTCACCTAATCACTGTTCTATCATCCATTTACACAAACTCGTTAAGTAGTTTATTCACTGCTTTCCTCTATCCCTCTTGACTTCAATAAGTCATGTGGGTGTCAAATTTTCCAAACCCACTTTTCTCAGTATGTACCCTAGAAATGTAAACTGTCTCTTCCTGTTATTAAGTATAAGTGTCCTTTTGTCTTCATTTTTTCTAAAACTTCGTCGTTGTTCACATATTCTGTTCATGGAGTCCTCAATATCCTTCAGTAGAACCACATTTCTGTCGTTTCAAGTCTTTTCTTCATCTTTGAGGAAATTGTTTGCCATATCATGGCATTACCATCCATAATGATCTGGGGGTCTTGTTCTGGGACGAGTCCATTACTTGTACATAGTGAACATAGGATATACCACATTCCTCATTCATACAAAAATGTAGCGTTACCATCCATAATGATCTGGGGGTCTTGTCAACTGGGACGAGTCCATTACTTGTACATAGTGAACATAGGATACTACTACCACATTCCTCATTCCTACAAAAATGTAGCGTTACCATCCATAATGATCTGGGGGTCTTGTCAACTGGGGTCCATTACTTGTACATAGTGAACATAGGATACTACTCAATTCCTCATTCCTACAAAAATGTAGCGTTACCATCCATAATGATCTGGGGGTCTTGTCAACTGGGACGAGTCCATTAACCATAGTGAACATAGGATACTACTACCACGTTCTTCATTTTTACAAAAATGTAGCGTTACCATCCATAATGATCTGGGGGTCTTGTTGTCTGTTCAAATCTCCTAACCTGTTGGACCCCAGCATCATCTTTGTTATGCGGTGTGTTCTCCTCTGGTATGGGGATACCCAGGGTACTCCTATTTTGTTCCACAGTGGGGGGGGGCTCAGGAGTTAACTCGGCTTCCAGCCAGGGTGCTAAATCACAAAGAGATACAGTAGACTCCTTTCCATCTGGATACTTTATGTTGGCATAAGTCAGATTTTTTTCTAAGATTTCGACTTGGTCCACATAAATGTACTGATATTAAGTAACAGTTCCGTAATTATTCTAATGAAATTTTCCTGTTTCTTAATGCTTTGAAAGGCATATTTTGTTATCCCAATGCAACTTTGAATTTCAGTGTCATGCTTTCTGCCCTCTGTTAAAACACTTCTCAGATATTTAAATTGTACTTGTTTGATTTGGTATCTCCACTTTGTAATTTGCATGTTGGGCTCATCCTTTTAGCTAACAACTATGCATTCCATCTTCTTACAACTGATGTTTACTTCTTTCTTCTTACATTCTTTCATTACCTTCTGTAGGAGTTCTTGTAGTTTCCTTTATATATGTCTGCTATCAACAATGTGTATCTTATATTATTAAGATTGTGACCTCCTATAATGAATCCTGGTAGGACTTCTAGTTCTCTTAGAATCGCTTCACTCTATATGTTGAATAATCCGTTGAGAAGATACATCCTTGTCTTACAATCCTTTCTATTTTTGTATATCTGCTGAACACATTTTCTATCCGTATGGTGGTGGTTTGCTGCCAGTATAGTTTCTGGATAATTCTAATATCCTCCCCAAATATGTCACTTCCAACAGTTCTTTGTGACATCAAATTCTGAATTCCCTGGCGGGCATAGATTTAGCGGAACGTTTCGGATCAAGTTCTAGGAAAAGGCAATCAATTCAAACTGACTCGTTGTCCAAGAGACACTTGGGTACCTACAGTCTGTTCCAAACAGCGATGGATATTCCCTTTCTGACAGATTGATATGACAGGAATGGAAACAGTATATATCTGTCTTGAATTTCCGATCTGAATCTTGCTACGATTATGCAACGAATCTTTCGAACTATTTTCCTTGGTTTTATTGTCTTTATCCCAGCGTTCTGGCCGCTATCCCCTCCAGCCTTTCTCAACTGTCTATCAGATCTGGTTATCTCCCCGGAATATCAAACGGAAGAATTCTTTAGGATATCCACTGGGATAGTTCTTAATTACTTGTCATGTTCGGTGTCATTACAACGGAATTAAAAACTCCTAAGCGTCTACCTTTCATTCTGATGTTATTCTGTCGCTTGACTGAGTCGGTGTATATTACAACAATACCTGCATTGCCGGTCCTTTCTAGCGAACAAGCATTTCCTTATTATTAGTGAAGAGAATGAAGAAAAGGGGAGAGATAAGTTACTATGGTGTTGCTAATTGACCCACATTTATTTCGACGCACCTTAGCTTCCCCATAGCACGATGCTGCAGTAACAGAGCACCTCATGAAAATAAGAAAAAAAAGAGAGGATGTTGTGGAGAGACATAATCACTCACATTTTGGAAGTTTTGTTTTTTTAGTGGCATAGGAACTCCTTATGGGTCACATAATGCCGAAACTTAATTTTTTTGGGGGGGAATATAAGTAATTTCTTTTACAATAATGTATTACCTCTAATTTTTGTTTTTACATAAAAATATATTGGTTATAATATTTTTACCAAATATTTTTGCTTTGGAAATGTATTGCTTGTATTTTTACTATAAAAATGTTATTTTTATACTTTCATAATGTTTTGACCCCAGTTCTGGGGGTTAACTATTTACCATAGCAGGGACCCTATCAGGTACTACCACCCCGGGTCAGGGAGAACATGGGAACAACAGCAATTAAGAAGTTTTTCTACGCTCATCAAAACCTCCCGGATGTAGTTTATTGTCAAACCCATGACGACGTTTTGAAAGGACCTGCCATATATAAGAAGAAAAGTTAAATACAACTCATGCAGAAGTAACAGTCTTTGAGACGAGCCTTGTACAAGTTGAACCTTACTGTAAAAGTACAAATATACGAAGCCGTATGTAGCCATGATTAGACGCAGTCTGATAAAGGTATACCACGCACAGCATCACAGCCAAAGGTAGGCGATATGGTGAGAAGTTTTGATAAAATCAAACCTTACAGATGGGTCCCAGTTAGAAATACATTCAAGTTGGGGAACCCTATCCACTCAAACAGTTTTCGATGGAGGATTTTCCCAGGTTTTCCCCAGATGTGTCCCTTTGGGTGTGTTAACCTTCAAAACCTAAAAAAAGAAAAAACAAAAAAAGAAACATTTCTCTCGATTCCTAGCCATGATGCCTTCTTCATTACTCCCGCTCATGAACAGAGATACACTGTGCGTTATCCCCTAGGGGATATGACTAGCTGCTTATGGTCATGGCTAATGACAAGAAAATATGTGGAACTGAATAAGATATTTACTGTAGCCCATCTTAATTCGCCAAGACAAAGCATGTGCATGCCAATCAATTAAAATCAGAAGCCATGATAGATAATCATAGCTCTCTAC